ATTTAACAAACTATCTTACTTCTGAATTATACGATAAGATCAGCAACGAAGCGTTAATAATTCACTATTCTTTCTATGATAAATGACCAGCGGTTAAGTACGTTTCTCGCGCGAGTAAAAGGAAAGGAAGAAAAACGAGTTTGATGCTATTGTATATGTCATCGAAAGATAGTAATAAAAGCGAATCGAACGAATTGCTCTTCGCATTCCACATTATTGCCGTGCAGGTTTCTTCTTACCTTTTTTTATATCTTTTCGATTCATTGAAAATCGAACGTATTGTCGTAAAAAAGTAGAAAAAAAATATCCCATTATATGGAAAAATTTTATGTACGATCGAAACGATCGTAGACTTTAAACACGTATTCGAAGTGCGTACCTTGGTTCTATAGAAGTTCATGTCTTAGCCCTGTAGGGAGCTTCAAAGTGCTAATGTTCACGCCCCCACTATTCATACCCCCACTACGCACGCCCAGCTGGGCCCGTTAACAAAAACACTCTTTCTATTCTTCGATTGTACGACTACGAAGACACATCTTCTTATTAGACGACAAAGAAGAAACGATAAACTGATTAAGAACCAACAAGGCAAGCGAAGTACAACTAACTACCCTTTATATTACCACAAACCCGACGAAAAGTAAAATAAGCGAAGTGTATAAGCACTCTTTACAGTTCTATAGACGAGCAAGAGGTGAGATACACGTCCAACCTCTAGTTGAACGCCATTAATTATTATATCCGAATTAACAACCAGAGTTTTTATGCCACAATGCTTTTCTCTGACGAGTCAATAAAGTATTATACTTTCAATTGGTTCATCCACGTGTTTTATTTCTTATTTGAACCTTCTAGGAGCTGAATTTTTGTTATAAATTAAAAATAAATAATTGCAACTGAAAATCTCAACAATTGTAAACATATATATGCAGATGAAGAAAAAATTTTCCGGTTTAAACAATTTTATTACAATAAATTCACTGTGTAACTTTCAAGTAACAACGGCCCATAATGTTTCCACTTCCGCATAGAAAAATTTAAACGTGAAATTTTACGAAGTATTTTTCACCTGGCGTTAAACGTAAATGTACGTTGCATTTTGAACATTTTATTTTTGGAATTCTTTTACACCCAGAATTTTTGCAGCATTTTCTGTTGTCCGAAAAAAATTGGCCAATGTACTGCTTCATCTTTCGGCACGTTTTGTAATGGAAGTACTGTCTTTGGTCTCCTTTTTATATTTTTATGTAATTGTTTATCTACATTGATAAAAACAGAACGCTTTCTTTTCTTACAAATTCCTTTGTGCTCTTGACATAAACAAAATGCAATATCAGTTTTAAATGTCAATAATTTATATTGATTCCTGGGGCTTACAGAATGAATTTTGTCAAAGGATTTACAATCGGGAAGAACTAAATAAATGTCATATATTTTTTCCGTAAAAATCTATCCCTCTGGTATCTTTATAGCTCTTTCGCAATAAAACTGATAAACATGGTCAGGAATTGTTCTCTGCAACAAATTCCTCAACTTTTTCTGACATTTAACAGAACACAAGCTTTATCCTTAATATACAGAAATGTCCCTTATAGACCATTGTTACTCCAAAGTAACAAAATAATATTTGAAATGCAAAAAGATAAATTGTTATTGATATTCAAACTCAGAACTATTATATACATAATTTTTTATTCGGTAAACACCGACAGAAGCATATTACGAAACTGTAACTTCGTTATTTCTGTTTTCGGACTATCAGCTTGAGGTTTTGTCTTCACTGGTATTCTCACGAATCGAACGGGTTGCCCTCGAAACTTCGTTATTTAGACAAATCAACAAAAATTGTGTTTGATTATCGCCTGTATATCTACTTCATCAAATAATGCCATCTATTTTGAAATACCGGTAAAAGGAATGAATCTAATAAACTAGAAAAGAAACGAAAAATTGTTCTTAGATGTGTTCAATCAAAACTTGTTATCTTGAAAGATGTTTCGAAATTTCAAAAAGAATTTGAAATAAACAGGGGGGCTCTTGATAATACAAGTACATATTCGAAATATTTATGTGTATTTTACATAAAGAATATATAAATATATTAGAGAGAAAGATTTAATCGGCTTAAGATAAGAGTGCTAATCGAAAAAAATATATATATACTGAAAGAAAGTTTATAAAATCTCTTGTCACGCTCGAAGAGTAAAGTGAGTTTTGAACGATGCAGAAAGTCTTGCGGTCGCTTAACTGTTAGGAAAAAAATTTAACAGAATGACTAACCAGCACGAATGAACTTCAAGTTATGAAGAGGAGGAAAATTGTGTATTATAAAGATTATAACTTCTTCCATAAAATTGTCGAGCATATTAAAAAAAAAAAAGTAATACACTTTACCATGTCGTACTTGATTAATTCGAAAACTTCTTTACGACGCCATGCTGCTAATCATAACTTGCTAATCATACATTAAATAAAATATTTTATTAACATCTAATCATTTATCAACAAGAAAAATATTCATTCTTTATTATATTCTTTTGCTTCTGGCAATAAACTGGATTGAAAATAAATAAGGAAAATATAATAGGTACGTTTGCTGAAAACTAATTAAATTTAATAAACTTTTCATTATTCAAAATCACATATAATATATTATATGAAATTATAATATATATATATATCAAATATATTAAAAATAAAATGGATAAATTAATGAAAAAATATATTTGATTAATTATCAACCTTTTGATTTACCATCTTCAAGATTCGAAAAACACCATTAATATTCTATAAACATTTGTGTTTCCTTTGGACTAGTAGTTTGAATGACCTTCTATAACTCTCCTATTCTCTCTTTCTCTCTTGTCCTCTCTTTTCAACGGCACCTCTATCGATTTTGGCCACCAATTGGAACAGAACTATCGAGACATTGAATTCAAGTAAACGTCTTTGACTTTGCCAAATTCAACGCGGCGGTGGGCATAAGAACAAACCAAATGTTTTACGAACTCAATATAACGAATGCTATTATTATTTTATACTTTTTCTTTTAGAGGAAACGTTAACTTAATGCTTTCTGAGTGCCCGTGATTCGTACTCTTTAGAACTATTGTTACGTTTGCTAACGAAACAAAGCAATTGCAATTGCTGACTTGCAATTACTCAACTATCTCAGATTACAGCACTAGGATTTTTTACTTTTTTCCTGAAATTCGAAATGCTTTTTTGTGTTTCTTTTTTGTTTACTTCAAATGTTTACTCAACCTATATAAATATTAAAGTATAATACATAATAAAAACTCATATATACATATAAATGCTTATGTAACATATCTTATATAGATATAATTTTAATAAACCCAATAATCACTAAAAGTTATAACTATGAAGTATTCAATTATAATGGTCTGAAAAATCTAGAAAACTTGAAGAGCCTTTTAAACTTATGACTACCAAATAATGAAAGCTTCTTTTCAAAGTTCGAACTAACTTCAAAAAACCTCAACATCTTATGTTAGATATTAGACTTTTCACCTTCGAAAATATAAGCATCGTAAATATTTTCACGATATTTACCATTAAAGCCCGAAGAAAACTCCATTGAATAGAGTTGACGGGAACATATTGAAAGGTACCGAAGGTAAATTTTCAGTGGATTATCTAAACCAATATATAGATCTCAATCGAACCTCTTAAAGCGTGTGATTACAAACCGAATACTTTTTATCGACTACCTAAAACTCTTACAGATTTATTCCATCATTCACAATTTTACTGATCCCACCAATCAAATAGTGATTCAAGCGATAACACGCTTCTTTTCTTCGTGTCTTCCTCATAACTCGTTATATAAGCCGATTGCATAAGATTAGCAGTTACATATAATATTTATCTCTTATCTGTACAAGCATACTACGATTAAATCAATAATCTTTGCAATAATAAACCAAGTTACTATTAATCCACGCATTTCGAATCCAATTCGAATTAAATGATATTGCATTTTAGTTGATTATTAAAATATTAAGAATTGCATATTAACATAGTCTATAAAATACTTTCTATTTAAAGTATATTAAATTTTTCATATTATAATCAATACGATTGATATCAAACTTGAAACCTATAAGAATTTATGATTTAATATGAAGATAATTAGACAAAATGATTAAATTAAAATTTATTTTTAAAAAGAATAGAAAGAAATCTATTTCTTATTCACTGACAACGCATGGCACGCTTAAATAAATTCTTTTGCAACTAACACGATGGAGATACAGATGTTCTCTTAATATTAAACTTCGTCGTTTCAATCATGCCCATCGTAACTCGATTCTCATCGATGAAACAATTCCATTCAAATGGCAGGACAATTCGATGTAATTTAATCAAACCAATCAGAACGGGAAATTATTTAATCCCAGTAGATTTGAAAAATTTTAATAGGGATTTGAAATATCATGAATAAAGTATTGATCGTTTTCAAAGAAATCGTGATTTCTAAAGAATTCTAATACACGACGTGGAAAAAAACAATAATTCTTTTGCGAGAGATAAAATTTGTAGAGGATATTGAGCGTTAACCGAACTTTCTGGAGATCTACGATGCTTTCAAACGTCAAACATGCTCGTTTATCGAAGATGGATCATTAAACTTTTAAGTTATTGCTTCGAAATTTCATGGATACGATTTCCGTGAAAAGAATGACGGAATTCAAGTAATCGTAATAAAGGAAATCTTTAAAGAAAGACAAACTCTTGTAAAGTTTTTAAAAGATTGTTGAGTGGATAAATCGTATTTTATCTGTCGAAGAAAAAAAGTGCACTTTATAGGTATATTATTATTACGTATACCTTAAATTATATAATTTATGTATTCATAATTAAATAAATACAATAATGTTGTAATATAAATGAATGTGTTGATAATAAAATACTTTTTTAAACAAATACTATACCAATTTTATGTATAAAATAATATTCAATTTACTCTTTTACAGAACGATGTGGTTGCAATAGCTTTGGAAGCCCTTTTGAAAAACGAAGTGTCTCTTCCGATCTCTACATCCCTGTAGGTATTTTTTTCGTATCTTATTTTAACAATAATTTTTCTCTAGTTTTCATGCTTCCTCAAGTTACAATATTAGCTTTTCTTCGTTTATTTTCATAAGTTTTACATAATATTCATATCAACTTGAAGCGCATGAAAATATCGTTATTTTATTCGTAAAAATGTATTTTCAAAAAAGCACGATCTCCGTTCTTGTTTCAGAGATAAACTAATTTACAATGTGGACACGGAGGAAAACTACAACTTGTTGGAAGATATATATGAAACATTAAATTACAACTGTGGTAAGTCTTTATTGTATGTTAATATATAAAATGTTTGAAAAACATCGTTGAGGAAAATCAAATAAAACATTCCATATTATTCAAAAGTCCTAATAAAATCAAGAATATTATAAAATTGTTATCTTTCGTTAGACATTTATTTATTTCTTTGTTTCTGAAGCCATATGCCATAGATGTTCTTCCGTGAAAAGACATATAAAGATATAATAAAACTTTTCAGGCTTCGCATTCCACGAAAAGTAACGTTAATATCAACTCAATTCATTATCTTTGAAATATTCAAATTCGTAAAATAAAATTATTAATAATTGTTTTCAACAATCATTAACTATACTATTCTCTCTATTATATTCTAACTATATTATATTAGAAATTTTCCCTAAAATTAATAAATTTATGAACAATATTCTATATCAATTATATACTACGCTGTAAATATCAATTACAATACTTGAAAAAAATCCAAGCAAAAAAAATAAAATGTTTTTTTTCAATAACACTGATTGAATCAATACAGTATAGGCATTTAATACTACTGATAACGATCCACCTCAGTGATGGAATAATGTTCTAACCACATCAATTCATCTCCAATTCATTAACACTATCGATTCGATTCACTTCGACGTCCAAAGTTTTGAACTAACTGAGAATGCTATATTTTTTGATAAAATTGCGTAAAAATCTTCGAGGTTCATTTACTATAAGCGAGAAGGGCTAATTAGGTTGGACGTTTCCATCTATTACGAGATATAAACCCTTTCATCGTGTATCCTGTTTCTCTCGGAGTCTCACCTTTCAGTCCAAAACTAAATTGTTTTCATTATCCTTGATACCGTTTTTTTAACGCAGCTTTTTAGTGGCTCACAAAATAAAAGAGTGATCATGATTTCATGAAAGAAATGAAATTTATTCGCTTTCATCGAGATATTATTTATCTTTTTATTAATAACTCTGATGTCATTTGATTTTCTTTCTTAGAAAAATATCCACAAGAAAAGAACTCTTTCGAAAACAAACATTCAATATTAATTAAAAGTAAACAAAAGATATACTAGTTCTGAAACAAAACAAAAGTATTAGCACATAATACATTTTCATCTAACGTTATCTATAAATCCGGGAAAAAAATCATATTGTTGATTTTTTTCTACAATATATCTTTGGAATATAAAATTTCAGTATATTTTAAGTCGTGAAATTTAAATTGATGTAAAATTTAAAAACAATAACTTTCATCTAAAACGGGAGCTTTATTCTATATTTCATTTTTTGTTTGTTAAGAATTATAATACAGTTGTAAGACAAAAAAATATTATTTTTTGTAAGAGACTTTAAGTGTACTTTGTGTAAAACAATTTAAGTACTGACAAAAAAAGGATTTCAAAGCTAACTGTCTAAAAAGTCTTTCCTTTCTTTTATATCTTTCGACGTTTGTCTACTTTTTTATGTCCCTCCTTTAGTTTGTCTCCGTTTCTAGTCGATTTTTCGTCAGTCGTTTCCCTTCGAAACGATTCAATGCCATAAAGGCTGCCTCTAGGGTAACTTTTTAGTCTTTGGTATACATGTACGCCATTATTTTTTCCTTTTTTTCCCCTCTTTATATTTCTATATTTGTGCCGCTGCATATAAGTAATACAAAACAAAGAAATCATATATCTTTGTGGTCATCAAGCTTATTACGGGAGTTTATAACAAAAATGAGAAAGGAAAAAAGTAACAAGAAAACAAAATAATGATCGTCGTATACTTTGAACGAGATCTCGTAATCGTTAAAAAGTACGAGGTTATATCTCGTCCTTACTGATTTCTTGCTTTTTACAGGATTTATGTTCGATATTACGAACAAATCTAAAGATTCAGTTGGATTTAAGCTACATATATATAAATCGGGTTATATGAGATTCAAAGACAGTCCCTGGAGACTACTTAAACTAGCTGAATAAAAATTGCATCTTTGTGGGTAATCCTTATCATACAAAAAAGGGAAATTTCTTTACATTTTTCTATTAGAAATCATGTTAAATGTAAATAATAAATAGAATGATTGTAAATTGACATCTATAATACTGTCTAATAAAAAAGGTATATTCTAAAGTATTTCTATTAAGAATTTTTGGGAGTCAAATTTTACTGTTTTAGGAGAAAGTCATTATGATGTTTTCTATACAGTCTCCTGGGTAAATTGATTATATGTAAATCCTTAACCTATAATTTAGATGCATTTCTACATAAGTAAATATTTATGGTTAAGATATTGTAGTATTAGTTTATTAATAGAATTACGATATTTTGTATTTTATTTCAAAATATGAATCCTCAGTTATAGTATTAAACGTACTTAAGAAAAATATGAGGCCAAATACTTGATAAAAAATAATTTTATTATTTTGCAATTCGGATAACTGACTCTCGAAACGCATTATACATTCTTTTTTATAAAGGATTCCGAAATGATCGATCTGTGAATTAAAAATTACGATACCATAAAAATATGTGTATTTTCGCATGACCTTTACGAATCCGTATATAAAAAAAAGACTAACGTCAGAACATATCCTCTTCTGAAGCATTCAAACTTTTATCTGAAACATGTTGCAACGGATAATAATAGTGACGTAAATCAAAATGTCAATATCAATCGAAATACACTATATGCCAACAATTTAATATTTCTCGAGAATGCAAATTTTGTAGAAATATTAAAAGAATAAGAGAAAAGAGAAAGGCAAGGGAAATTTAAAATTACAATATACATAGATAATCGATATCTCTCGTAAAATCGAAGAACAAAAAGAATTTTGCGCAATTAAAATACAAGATTCAACGATAATCCACGCTTTGAAAGATTGATGAGATATATAGTAAGGCTTGATCCAAAAAAATTACATTCAAGACACTTACGGTCGAAGCGATACACCAAGGATATTAATTTTTATCCGCGTAACTGGTGAGAGATTATTGATTTAATAGGAATGAGAAGGTATATTGTTTCGACAAAATTTAACTCTAAATGTAATGAATTTAATCAATGATAAAATATTGAAATTTTTACTCTTTGTCTTTCCTCCTCTTTTACATTGATAAACTGCATTCGATGCCTTAACAATAATCCCTTATAAATTTTTCAAATCGAGTAGTTAACATCAATCATTCTTTTTCGTAGATTCAAGAGAACGAAAAGAAAAGTTGAAAAGAAATGAGCATCGATATCGATACTGAGCTGTCACTGTGTAACATCGAACATTCATTCCAACGATGTAAGATCGTGATCTTTATAAAGTTGTTTTGCTTGATCCTCGTCGCACATATATCATTTATTTTCTCGAAATACGATGTATACTTACTCCACTATGGTTCATGAAAAATGATCCCTGTAATGATTCTCTTCTTTGTAATCTTGGAAGAAGCATGCATGCTCATTGTTCATTCTATTTTTAACTTTTCTTTCTTCCTGGGTGATACCCGAGAGAATTTTGATGAATCCATGCACGAATCTCTCACTAACTGCAATCTTACTTGTAATCCCTTTGTCTCTGCTGAATTCTAGTTGGAAGCTCATATTGTCGACGCTGATATTCGAAATAGCGAAAAACTGCGAAATCTACTATGCGCAATCAATCGTGAATAATAAAAAAAGACCTACAGCGACGAAAGTAATTTTCTCATTTCGTTTATAATTGAGATGATTTTTTATTCCAATTAAAAAAACAAGAATATAGGTATCATGGAGTATATAACGCCAGCTGCGTTGAAATAACCGATGGCCAAGTTATTTTATGTCTATCATGAACGATACTCATCTCTGATAATTCTATGTAAACCTTTTAATGATAAGATAGCTTTTATGAAAACTATGATATATTTTAGAAGTAAACGGGAATCGTCAGCTGATAATTATTGAGTGATGAGATATATTACAGTTAACAAAATTATGATAAAAATATATTATTTTATGTTTGCGCAAATATTTCGAACAATCGATTGATTCTTTTACATATAAACTATTCTCATTTAGTTTATTAATATTTACAATTATACGATAAGATTTTATAGACAATCCTTCCAAATTCCTAGCTTGAATCTAATTGAAATTTACAATCGAGGATTATCGGTATCAAAATGAATAACGTCAGCGAAGAGAAAAACAAATCCATTTCATGAGTTTATTATCCGCAATAATCATTTTTGTCAGTTTCATTGCCTTATAACGGATTCACATATCAGAAATTTGATGTTCACGGAAATGCGATATCCAATGTAAATAGTAAGATAACTCTTGAAATGCTATACATTTCGATTCCTATTCGAAACAATGTTAACGACATTATTGGCGCCATCAGAGAGTAATGTCAATTGTACGGATTTTCTAACAACTAACAAACATTATAAATCTCGCTATCATAAAGATCTGGAATTCATCGTGAATGATTTCTCAGGAAAACTTGCTTAAACTTTACGAGGTTAAAACTAGAAGATAGAAGTCAATGATATTTCCTCTTCCTCGAAGATCGTTGAAGAGAATTTGAAGTGTCTGTGATTCGTGACTTTACGTTAAATTAGATTCTAGCAAGGAAAAGGTTACTCGAATTAATTAAAATCTATTTGGATATATATACTATATATACTATTGGATATATATACTATACAAACATATCTCTACAAATAGATATATATATTTATTTTACTTTATTTCACTTTTTCCATACTATTTTTTGGCTATATTATAATTTGAAATGAAAACAATGGTGCAATAATTCGTTTAATCCTAAAATAAAATAAATTTTAAATTAATCTTGTTTTCCAATTCAATATAAAATTAGAATTATATTGTATTCAATACATTTCTACTTGATCTCTCATACATGAGAGGATATTCCCAAAAATATAATCTCATTTCCTATTATTCGTTATAAAATATTATTATTTTAAATATTGTATATATAACACCGGACATTCGGTGCAGATAATTTCATTTTCGTGTCATCTCAAAATACATCTCACATTAACTGGACGTTTGAAATTATTTCAATTTAAATATATTACATCGATTTGTACTCAAAATTGTTAAATTTATGCATAAATTTATGTCAGTACGAGTTAATGTGATATTATGCTAGAGTCCTCGCTCGTAGATCATCATCGATCGAAACTTGGAAATCGTTTTGAAAGAGTTTTATAAAGACCATTCCTTTTTCAAGGAAACTTTGCACGAACGAATCTTTTCGTACGATCTGATTTCGGGAGGTTGAATGAGAAAGCGAGAGAGAAAAAAAGAAGACTAGAGAGATGGACGAGTGGGTAAAAGTAGATAAATGCGATCAAAGAACAGATATCGAAAATTGACGTTGAATCTGTCCATTGAGAGTGGATTTTACTTTGAGATCTTCGAGAGTATGTTAACCTAATTTGCATTAGACCGTCAAGTAGTGCGGTTACAATTAAGCACTACTCCAGGAACGTCCCATTAATCAGCTGCTTGATTTGGATTGGTCACTCGATATCCAGCAAACAGTAATGTACACAGATTTGTCTTTGGCAATCGGAATTCAACATTAGCTACTAATGTTGACGAACAGTAGGGAAGAGAGTAAGGTAATAATCCTAGTATGAGAAATTTACCACGAAAAATCAGTCAATATCTCTGATTCCAAGATGCTAAATTTCCGTTCGCATTTACGTTCGCTATTGCGGCCAAGAAGGAAATTTATCTTTCGTGTAGTAGAACATAATGGTTCGTTAAACTAGTAACATGGTACGATACTTTATAAGCGACCCTTAGCGAACCGACGGAATTTCCAGAGACACCAACGATAAACTTAAGTTTGCATGAAACTGTGACAGGTATTGCCGATAGGTAGAGCCATAGCGTACCGAAACATTGCTCAAAGTCTGATGGATGAAATTATTTATGATCTACTAAAAGAGTAAATATTAATAAATTTTGTGTCGCGTATAATAATAAATTATTTTATTTTTTTTCTTGTCTTTTTGAAGATCCTAACGGTTAAAAATCAAATGCAAAACCTCGAACAACTTTTTATATTAAGTTGATTGTTCTAATTAAAAAATTGTGGCTTAAAGCACTACTTGAATGCTAGAATCTATTCATTACGAAAAAGTTTGTCTTTTTGTTCATTTATTACAAGTATCGATTTATGGAAATAAATTGCGATTAGATAAACTAACAGAAGTAACATTACATTATATACTTTTCTAGATAAGATCAATCATCTCGATTTCGCCACTACTAACGCGAACAAAACAGGAAGAATAAAATTTAATTAATTGTACTATTAATTAAATGAATTGAATTAGTGAGAAGGGAAGACTGTACCCTAACCTAGTAAATGCACATACAATAAATCAAAAAAAAATTTCCAAAGAAAATTTACTTGCTGTCTCACGTTGTGATAAAAAAATATAGAAAGAATTTTTATGTAAACGCTTATGTAAATTAAAAGATAGAATGCTTTTGCTTAAACACAATTATATTGCCAATATAAAGATAATCAATATAAAAATCATCCCCATGTACCAATGAAAAATATTCATTATTCAAGCGCTTAAGATTAATTTAAAAAAAAAAGGAAAAGAAAAAAATTGTTATTTGTAAGAAGAAGTTTTCTTCTTGTTCATTGGTTCTGTCAAATTACGATCAAGGAAAAGATTTTTAAACATGAATCATCTTTCGTAAGCACTGTCCTCGAGATTTCTTGCTAGCAATATTTCTCCGTTATTCACGGTGTCGTGATCAGCTGATATTTGTAAACACGACGAGAACAAGTAGTTCGTACTGCGGAAGCACTCCGAGTAATTTCTCGAGCAGAAACGGAACTTTCTGCTATGACGTGACGCATGTTCCTAAAACTTTAATCCTACTTTTATTTTTTTTTTTATCGAGGACGTATGTTTATCCATGTAGGTACGGCTTCGAATGATTTCCAGTATTGTTTTGCAAACGTAATGATATAATCCCAAAATGGAATCTCGAATTATGAATATTCGCTAATGCGATAGATTCGTATTCACTCATACGAAATTTCCCAGCAAGCGCGGATTGCTTTTGCAATATGGCTTTTTTTCCCTGAATCTGACTAACTGAAACGATAAATCTAAGATAATATCGTTACAGCATTCAGATATACTGCTACAAAGAATATAAAGCGTGATAGAGATGACATACTGATTTTAATTTACATAATAATAAGAAAAACGTGAGCTCGAAATCTGAATTTGCTGCTATGCTCGAACTGATATTTTAAATTTACATATATGCCTACGTATGTATGTATATGCATACTTTAAAATATATTGTTAGAAAAGGAAAAGGAGAGAGAGAGAGAGAGAGAAAGATTAAAACATTTGTTGGATGGTATATATTTTATTTGTCTTTAATTTAACTTTAATATTTTTGCGAGATTATTGTTCATATTCGATCTCTCACATTCCGTAACTTTGATATTTGTCGTATTTATCTTAAAAATATATGTAGAATGAATATTTCAATAACAAAGACAAATATAATCTGTACCTATGTGAAAATTTCTTCGATGATTTGTCGATTAAATTGGATATCAGTTTGGAAATTCTAGTTAAATGTACCGATTCTAACAATAACATATGGTAAATATTGAAAGTGCGTCTCTCTTTTAACGGCTGGATTTGCGAGTTTATAGAGAGATTCTTTTATCACAATTGCTATATGGAAAGGATACAGATCTAAAAGCAGCATTGCGATTGTGATAAAATCTGTAAAGGTAGGAAAACATAGGGTAGATTTTTACGAATTCTCATAAACGCTCTTTTTGTTTTGTCTCTTTTTTTATACGATCTTATTGTAACAGCTGATGGTTCGTTTGTCATCGAATAAAAGGATTTTTCTTTTGTCAAATACAATTTTACATAATATGTAGGTATGCTCATCAAGTTAGAAATGAAGAGAAACGAAAGAAAGAAAGAAAGAATGAAAGAAAGAAAGGATAAAGGAAAGGGAAAAACAAATAGAAAGAGGAAAAATTTCGTGGAAATTTTACCGCACGATTTGAGGAGCCCTCATCGCGAGATATTCCAGATGGATGGTCGTCTGTGATGCATGTTACCACGTATTACCTCGGCCGTTATCGATTATCGAGTTTTCTCGCGCGAGTGTAATGTAAAATAATATAGTAAGGAAGCCATCGGTTAAAAGACTTTGGTCGCATCTATTTTCGGAATCTTATGAGGGATCTGCAAGTACTGGCCTTAAAAAGGGTGAAGAATGATGAGAGATTTTTCGATAGAAAAAGATAGAAAGAGAAAGATCTTTCCATCTTTCTTTCTTTCCTTTTCTGAAAACATACTGAATGACTTTTAAATAAAAAAGATACATCTCATACTTATTTTCACAATAAACGTTAGCTTTCTAACAAATACAAACCAGTAGATATTAAATATTAAATCTGAATGTATTTTACTCTTGTGAATTTAAAAATCCTGTTAGATTAAAATAAGAATGGTGGGTCGGTTTCTTGGGCATTCGAAAACGACTTCGGAATCGACATTTTCTCTTTATTCTGAGACTATTTGATAGCGGATCTTATATTACCATATGAATCGATTAGTGTATAGCCTTTTTTTTTTAGTATCGATAGGCAGTATTTATATGTAAATTAAATTCTCTACTCACAGATACAGTTGTTGGAATGATAATAAATAATTGTATACATTTTTTTACGTGCAAGACAATTGACGAAAAATATCAATTTCAAATATACTTTCGTCATCTTAAATAAAATACTAATCGTCACTTATATATTTATATATACATATACAAGTAATCCTCCTATAACACGGTAGTTAGATTCCTAGAAAATGCCGTGTTATTTGAGACCATGATTTATTATTCCTTCACGTCATTATTTAAACGTAATTTAATTTTTGAATATATTAAATAAAATCATATTATCTAGTGTTGTAAAAGTAAAAAGTATTATACAAAGGTTTTCGCAATTTATGAATCATGTTATAGCAAAACCGTGTTATAGAACGCAGTATTGTAGAAGAGTTACCTGTATATACAATCTATGATGTAAACTCTAAATGACTGCTTTCAAGATATACGAGAAAAGTTAAAATATTGACAAAGTAATCTTGTTTTTATTTTTCAGAAGTCAACGTAGAAGCATTTCTCGATGATCTAGGACAAGAATTGATCAATACCGCATGCGTTGGCCTTCTTAGGCGAGCTTTTCGATGCCTTGGGAACGATCTGACAGCTTTCCTGACAACTCTCGACGGCGTCAACGACGTCGTTCAACATCAGTCTGGCTTGGATAACGAGGCCGAGTTCGTGTGCATCGCGACACCGGAAGGATTGGAGTTACATTTCACAACCGATTACCCGTCCGTCGCCTATCTTCTCGTTGGCAGCCTCAAGGGCATCGCCAGACAGTTTTATAATGACAAAGCTAATGTGTGCATATTGCCAGATCCTTATAATTCCAAATTTTTTAGGTAATTATCATTAATCCTTCGATACGATTGATTTAACCTGTTAAACGAAAAACATGAGTCAAGCCTTCAATATTCATTTCTTTCCTCATAAAAGAATAAATACATTATTTCTTTTTTTGACTTTAATGCAAACAACATTATACGTTCCAATTTTTAACTTTTCGGTTCATTAATTTAACCGAAGTCTCTGGTTCCCGTCCTACTCATTTTATATTTAATTAAAAATATATCTATACATTCAGGATCTCGTGAAGATCTTTCCAGTATTATAATTTTTGTATTTTATATATTTGATTAAAAGATTACATCATCTTACTATTCAGAAAAACTAGTATAAAATGAAAATTTTTTATGCTACTTGAAGAATAATATAATTCTTTAAATAATAGTCCAAGAAAGCATATATACATTTATAGATAAGTAATATATAGCATAACATTTGCATCAAATTCTTAATCGAAAGCCTCTCGAAACAAGAAAACTTGTAAAATTTCTATCTCTCTATATTCTTGAAAATATGTAAGAATTTTTTTTTTTAGATATTTTCACCGTAGTTATAACAACCTGGATAGTTATAAAGAATCAATACATTTGTCGAGTCAATCGTATACTGATACCACTGAAATTTGTCTAGGGAATATAATTCGCAGAGATGATGGAAAAGCTTTTACAATTTAATGACAATACCTACTGTTTTATCTTGTTTATATTGATTTTCCAACAAATAAATATTAATCGATAGTGTGTCGCAAATATTTAACAGAAAATATTTGAACAGATTAAATAAAAAAATCGCTCCTGCACCTTTAAGTATATATTACGTATTCGCTATTGAAATTTAAACGATTTCTCTATAACATCGATTAAATTCCCTCTTCTTTCGAAGAGATGACAATTAAATATAAAAAGAATCATTTTATTAGAAAAAATGCTAAGTTCTCTATTCTAGTATGATATTAATTCGTGTAAAATATAAATCGAATATATCAGTACATAATTTGTTATTTCTATAGCATTGAAAGTACGTTATCGATTATAACATTATCTACTAAGTTTCATTACCGAACGATTCTGTGGAATATGAAATATGAGATCAAATATGAATTCGTGGAAATTATAGTTCCCGGAAATACAGTTAATAAATAGATATGTAAGTACTAGTCATAAACTTATTGACGAGCATCACGTATAGCTGATAAAGTAACAGTCAATGTTGGTAAATTCACACACTATCGTTTTCGATCGTTTAATTTAATTTTAAAATTATATCTTCTCTTGCGAGTAAGAATATAAGAATATTTTTACGAAAAAGATGACACAGTGAAAGCATTGATTTTTAACGGATAGATGTATCTATGTTTTGTCTCTACTACCTCTCTCTCTCCCCCCCACTCTTTCTCTTTCTTTCTTTCATTCTTTCTTTCTCTCTCTTTTTCTTTCATACTTTCCCTTTGAAGAAATTTTCTATGGTAGAGTTACTGTCAAAAAGATACAAGTTCTTATAGTCGGATCGAAATAGCTTTTAAAGAGGAATATATAAGATTTGCTAACGGTCGAGTTATCTTTCAGATATCGCATCATTCCAGAACGGTATAGTGATCGAATCGACGACGATTCCGACGTAGTCACGCCAGACTATTTCCGTCCACTTTCCACCGAGGCCAGAGACCTTCGCTTGGGGGTGGCAAGCTTTTGCAAAGCTTTCCCATGGCACTTCGTCGTCGATAGAAACTTCGAGTTTGTCCAGCTGGGTGTTGGCTTTATGAAAATCTTTGGTCATTATTTGGATCGCCTTGGAAGGGAAATATCGACGTACTTTGCGTTCACTCGACCACACGGGATTACTTTGACCTTTCAAGAGATTCTGAAGCGCGCGAACACGCCATTTGTTCTAACGTTACAAAGGCCACACGGTGCTGAGAAATATCCTGCTGAGGTATAAAATTCTCCTATCAGTTTACAAAACTTTTACTTTGTTCCGTTCATCGTTAATAATACTTCATATAATACGGATAAAATATTACTTTAACATAATATTTCTCTTTATTTTTTTCCATTTATTATTGTTTAAGTGTTTTATAATTGTCAGATAAAAAGCGTTAATACGAGTCGTATAATAACCAAGAAAAATCCTTAGTAATAAATTTGTATAATAGAGAAGCTTGTGAAAATTGCATGAAATTAATTAACATACTACGTTTGATAAATTTATAGTACAATATCAAGGTGGATATCATTGATAGTCCTATTTATACCACATACGTTATTCTACAGACAATATCACCCTGTACAATCTTGTAATTCCAAACCGCAATTCGAATAGTCAGAATATATCCCTAATCGATTCGAGTACCTGTACTAATTGCACCAGATCTTACTGTATGATTATTATAAATCTCGACAAGCTAAAGAATGAAACATAGATAATATAATCGGCCGATAATTTACATTGAATTTTATTTTTAGGGTTTGGAAATGAAGGGCCAAATGGTTCACTGTCCGGAATCAGATTCAATTTTATTCGTGAGTTCACCGTTCCTTAACGGATTAGATGGTCTCACAGGAAGAGGTCTTTTTATTTCTGATATACCATTGCACGATGCGACGAGAGACGTTATCTTAGTGGGCGAGCAAGCGAGGGCTCAGGTAACAAGTCACGTCTTTATTTTGTCAACAAATACAATTTTATTCCACGTTGGAACGAGTTCGTAAAAAAAATAATATCCATTTCACGTTGAATGTTAAGACATTAAGAAATCCTAAGAAAATAAGTTTATGTACTTTTTCGAGCAATAATGCACCGTGAAAGGAAGTAAATCAATATAGTTACATACATACTCCTTAATCTTATGTACTCTTTCATAAAGCCATTTTAATGGCTCGTGCATTTGTATTTACTGACAAGTAGCATGTATATAAAGTCATCAAATATATAGTAAATTAACATGAGATATGATATGGCTCATGTATCTCTAACGTTGAATGTTAGTAAGAAGATACTGTGTTGGATAAATTAAAGACATGAACGTATTTGCTTATAGGATGGCTTGAGAAGACGCATGGATAAACTAAAAAGCTCTATAGAGGAAGCTAATAGAGCGGTCGATGCTGAAAGAGAAAAGAATGTTAGTCTACTTCATCTTATATTTCCACCAGATATAGCGAAACGTTTATGGTTAGGTAAGTCACGGACATTGGTAAAGTAGAGTCCTGTAACTTCAGAACTACAAATTAAGATAGACTTGTTTTAACAATAATTGCAACAAATCACTAATCAATAATTGCAAATAAATTATTTTTAATGTTTTAAAGTTATTCATTCGAAAAATCATAAATTGTCTGAATTAAGGAGTATATGAAAAAAATATTATAAGGATATTTCGTTATCGAGTTACGATAAGTCAGGGAGCCATTTTAAGGACTGATAGTAACGACATAAAGAAAATAAGATCTTTTTTCAAATAAGATAATTAGAAATTCAACTTTTCTTCTGTAGGTGAAACGATCGAAGCAAAAATGTATTCGAACGTGACGATGCTTTTCAGCGATATTGTTGGATTCACGGCTATTTGTTCGACAGCAACTCCAATGATGGTTGTCAATATGCTTCAAAATCTTTACGAACAATTTGATATATTTTGTGGACAATTGGACGTATACAAGGTGTTTTAATATTTGTAATTGATCATTAATAATTGCAATATACTTATAACACGCACAATTTTAATTTGACGAGCGTGCTCAGAAACACATTTTTTTTTTTCAATTATTTATTTTCCATGAAAACTCTCGACGGCTGTAACCGTCATTTACGGCAACGTCTTAAAAACAATCTATATGTATAAAAAGTATAATTTTTAACTCATTTGGGTATCAGGTAGAAACAATAGGCGATGCTTATTGCGTGGCGTGTGGTTTACATCGAAATACAAACACTCATGCACAACAAATTGCCTGGATGGGCTTAAAAATGATACAAACGTGTACTCAACATTTAACGCACGAAGGAAAACCTATCAAGGTAATAATTACGTTTAATTATCGAAGAATTATCAATTCGATTTCTATAATATACGCATGAAAGAAAATAATCGTGTAATCAATTATTTGTTTCGGTAACAAAATTTAATATAAAACTTAATATGTTTTAATGATAATGCTGATGTGCGTATAGAAATCAATGATAATACTTATTATTACTAATTTACTTAACAATATTATCATACCATTGTTTATTATTTCCTTTTCGAAGACTATTAAAACTTTTCCCATTAAAAAAGTATCCATTGTTCTTGTTGATAACAAACGACCACTACGATACGTGCAGCAAAGTAAAAGAAAAGATTCCTACATTGAAATTAACTTTTAAAGGAATCTTTGCGAATTTTTTTACTTTTCTTGCACGTTCTCTTTTCACATCAAATTATAACTCTTCTTATATTCATGAAATCACTCGTATAACTTACTTCGGAACATTATTATGATTAAATATTTTTCAGATGCGTATTGGTATTCATACCGGAATGGTTTTGGCTGGTGTAGTTGGTAAAAAAATGCCTAGGTATTGTCTCTTCGGGCACAATGTAACGCTGGCTAACAAATTTGAATCCACGAGCGAGCCATTGAGAGTTAATGTCAGTCCTACAACGTATTTGTATGTATAACGAGAACAAATATTTCTTTTTTACCTGAGTACATTTTTTGAAATATAAACATATCAAATTGAAATAGTTCATTTCATTTATGTTATTTTTAACGATGACATTATTTTATTGTAGACACTTAATTAAAACATCAGGATTCATTTTGGAACCGCGGACCAAGAATAATTTACCGAAAGAAATGCCAGCAAACACACCAGGGACCTGTTACTTTCTCAACGGTTACCAACATAGTGACATTGATGCAAGAGAATCTTTGAATACTCATATCCAAGCTGCGATTACAGAACTTGGAATTTGCAATGACACATAAAAATCTTTTTAAAAGAACAAAGAAAAAAAGAAAGGAATCTTACGAGATGACACACGCATCAGCTAGCCTCTTCTCTCTATGAACTTTTCTAATGATTTCTTTCGAAAAACAAAATCGAGAAATAAATAAATGACAAATTAATCGACTTTAATCAGAAAGCTAAGCGCGAAGGTGCTATACCGATGTCGGGCTTCAGGTATGACAACGGTACAAAAGTCCAATGAAAAATCCTATGTCGATACTATTTATACGCAGAGTTTTAGGTTGAAAAAATAATTATATACTTATGAACAATACGACAAGTAAACTCTATGACGAATTAAATACAACGTTGTTTTGTTAATCTACCACACTTCTACTGCTCCTTATTATCCTAATCGAATTATTATATCGTGTAAATTCTTTATTAACAGAGAATAAATGCTATATATTAATTATATATATATTAAATAAATTTTGAAGAAATCGAAAGAGGGACAGATAATTGAAATTATCTTAAATAATAATAACGTTTGGATAGAACCGAGGAATCATAAAATATTTTTTATTCAAGACACTAACAATATGAGTTTTTTTGTAATTTCCGATAATTTAATACAGATCTGTATCCTAATTTCGCAGACTTTTATTAATAAACTGAAAAGATCAATTCTTTGTCGGAAAAACCACCGGATACTGTTGTTCGGTCGACTTGTCCTTTTCTTTCTGATAAATAAAATGTAACTTTAACAGTGAAGTTTCACCTTTCAACCGACATTACTTACTAAAGATAGAAAAAATAGGTCTGTGAGTCTGTTCTTGATATTAACTGCCTTATTAATAGTAAAAAGTAACAATTGACTAGGAATTTCTTCGTGGAAGAAAACAAGAACGTCCCTACATTATTCTTTCAAATGAATTAGTTCTCCTTGTAATCGAAATTTGGGGAAAGAAAAGAAAAGAAAAGAAAAGAAAAGAAAAACAGGAAATGAAAAGAAGAAAGAGGACGAGGAAAGAAATGGAAAGATTACAATGCCGAGAATCCCATCGATAGCTTATTGTACCGTCATAATGCTGAAAAATCAGTAAACAGGATACCTTTAACATCTGTATCTTTACGCTTGCATATAAATACATTAGGGTAGTCCATATTTTGGGTACTTTTGAATTTTTATGCTCATATGGTTCGAAATAAATAAATAAATAATTATATCCCCCAAGTGTTTCAAGTCTCTATCTCAATTTTAACATTTTACCGCAGAGCTATGTAAGTTTCTCATCTAAATAATATTGCTAGCAATCTCTGGCGGTTCAGGGGAAGCTAGCAATCCCTGGTGGGTCAGGGAAAGCTAGCAATCCCTGGCGGTTCAGGGAAAGCTAGCAATCTCTGGTGGTTCAGGAAAAGCTAGCAATCCCTGGAGGTTAGAAAGAAATCGTCTCTTAATAATTCTAGAAATATCGATGCACGCACCTCTTGAATTTTCTCTTACCCTCGCATATGTATATGTTACCGTCGAAGTAACGTTCAAGCTTAATTAATGTTCGTTAAATAATGCAGTAATTTCTCTTTTGTTGTTTTATTTTTAAGATTTTCCATTGTGATCGAATTTCATTAAATTTGCAATTTTTTGTTGTAGATTATGCAGAGTTTAAAAGTATTTTATAATAATTAATAGATTTTATTTTTATTAGTAACCTAATATTTGGAGTTTTCCTATATTTCATAATTATTATATTTAATAATATAAAGGTTTCAGGTCTAAGACTTTAATTAATCTACGTGTGCATAAAAAATTGATCATTCAATGCCAAAAATTCCATATTATTTAGATGGGAAACTTACATCACTCTGCGGTAAAATGTTAAAATTGAGATAGAAACTTGAAACACTTGGAGGCTAATAATTATTTATTTATTTATTTCGAACCATATGAGAGCATAAAAATGGTAGCATAAAAATTCAAAAGTACCCAAAATAAGAACTACTCTAATGTATATAGGTAAGTGACTATGCTTTACAATACACCCTCACAATGTCAGCACTTCTTTATGTATGCGGAAGCAGGTTCAGAACATTCAACGCTAATATCATTCCACTAAACTTTAGAAACTGATGATAATTTTGATGCAAATATCATATTCTTTTCTTCCATGAAAACAACCTAATAATAACAATAATAACACCACTTTTATCTTTCTAAGTATTTCATAGATATATTTTATTTTTAAATTGTCGTCGTAGAACTTTCGAAAGATTGGGTATATACCATAGACATCTATAGATCATTCAGCATTTACATACATTGAAGAAGTATCAAAGACTGTGTAAACATATATTAAAGAAACGACTAATACGAATGCCGTCATTTCTTCATCTACTTTCGTCATTAACGGAGAGATAAAGAAAAATAAAAGTAAAAAAGAGAAGGCGTATTTGAAAAATCGAAGAAAGGAGGAAAAATATAGGAATAGTTTTATAACAAAGAAAAGCAATATAGCGCAAAGCACGCGGATTCCTCGCATGTATTTTGCTTATACGTCTACGTGCTTCTGTGGAAATTTCTCTATCTTTTTCTCTTTTCTCCTCTTTCTTTTATTTTTTTTTTTTTGCTTTTCTACCGCGACACATTTCACGGCCTATCTCATGGACAAAGAAATTAAACATTCAGCCTCCCGGCTATGGCGCATAATCAAACGGCACTGCGGATACTCGCGAACTGGTCCTTAGAGTGAGAAAGAAATAAGAGAGAGAAAGAGAAAGGAATAGATAGAAAGAAAAAAGGAAAAATGAGAAGAAAGAATTTGGTGCTCGAAGAAATCAAGTCAGAAACGTCAAGATATTGTATATATGCGTGCATGCGAACATGTATGTGTTCATATATCACATATATATGTATATCTATATACAAAAGCAAATATACAAATGCAAAATATAACGACTTATGTTTATGTTGGATTACATGCCTCGAGAAGTCTATTATTTGAATACACCACATGTAGTACATGTGCTTTCTTTATTTCTTCCTCTCTTCCTCTTTCCTTTCCTTTCCATTCCTTTCTGGTTTTCTCATTCATATCGGTACGACAAAAGTCGCGGAAAAGAATTTTCGCGAATAAATATCTAGCAGAGATCAAGATACGATGCAGTTTTCGAAAAAGTATTCGTTACATAGCTTTAAGAAAATTTATTTTCATTGAAATAGAACAGAATGGACTTGTCAAATATTGACAAGAAAAAACTATGTATCGTAATAACAGATATCCCGATGAAACCAGTTTCTATTTTTTAAAGTGAAACTTCTTAGACGATGGTAACGGTAAAATTTTACGAATCAACATGAAAAGAGAAGGAGTACAGAGGTAGGAAGAATGAGAGTAAGATAGAACTCACAGTTGATTGATTGAGTTGAATAAGATTATGGAAGGTTCTAATGTTAGTTGTGTGTGTGTATATATGAGATACGTAGATCGATAGATGCATTTGTCTATGGAAGGATGAATGGGGATGTGACATATCTTAAGAGTGTTCGATATATCTTAAATGATTATTAATTAATCGAATGAAATGTAAGTGCAGTCTAAAAGCACAGAGAATAAATTTGATTCTCCGTCTTCTTCGAAATGTAATGTTAGACTAGCTCTTTGTCATCTATGAAACTCAATTAAAATTTTCTTAATGATATTTGTTTATATAACTTTCAGAAGAATAAATTCTATTTATATTACGAATATTATTTTCGTTATACAATGTATAGCCTTCGCAAAGTTGATATTTCTATTGATATGTCATTTTTAAACAAATGTACTTTATATTATTCTTATTTCAATTCGTATTAAACTGATTCTTACACTATGAAACATTTAAATAACAGTAAAAACAAAAGATGACCAATTGTAAGAGATGTACAAACCAGGTATGCTTCTTATTTTTAGTTATATCAACCATACGATTTTTAGTGACTGCCGTTTTCTACGTTATTTTCCTATTTACTGAATTCACTTGTTATAAATAATGTTTTTAAGATAAACTCATTAAAAAAAAATATTTAACTAAGATATACTTATTTATAAATTTTCTTACATAATGGTAAAAATAATAAGCATAATGATGTACGATTTTAGGAGATACTCACTGTATATATGAATTAATTGATTATTTTCCACATAATAATACGAGTTTTATTTTTATCATTCTGGAGGCCAGGCACATTCTAATTTTTAAATCAAAATTGATTTTTTCGTTTCATTTTCATTGACATCGTTCGAGTGTATAGTTGTTGCAACATTATTCTAGGAAAACAATCGAAAATAGATCCTTTCATTTTCTAATCTTATACATCGCGCATGATTCAACTACCAGCCTTATAGGACGTCTGAAAACGATATACACGTTATACTCCAGGGAGTTGCGAAAATCAAATCTGAGGCTACTTCAACTTATAGTCGATCGAAGTTTCATTTTCAAGATATCAAACGATATTGTATAGCCTTTTTCTTTTATAGAACATATATATACTTGTTCACTTACACGTGATATATATATATCAATGATAAACACGTAAAGATCAAGTAAAAGTTGAAGAGATAAATCTTAATCGAGTGAGTTTATTTATGACTCGAAAAATACATGCATTAAGTTTCTTGTAGCCAACCATAAATTTCATTTTAGACCTATCCGCTTCAGGTTTAAACAATAACTTGAAAAATTGCATATTAATAGAGGGAAGATAGTATCGCTAATACGAAAATAATGGCACTGCTGAAACATTGAATTATTTTTTGATTATACGTCATTTACTCGTAATATGTCATGGACTTTGAATGTACTATTAAATTAATACATAATTCTTTTAAGTATAAAGATAGACAAATGCCCCCCTCCCTAGGTTGTATTTAATTTAATAAATTAATTATTTTTCCAGGAAGATGGATCTTAATATTTTAAAGGAATGTTCTGGTTTTCCGAGAGAAGAAATGGTACAGGTTTTAATGAATTAGATATAAGCTGTAACAATAGTCTTGTTGATTCAAAATATTTTCGACGTTTCAAATCTTAGATTAATACAAGAAACTCAAAAAGCTAAACAAATGTATCGTTTTGTAATAGAAAACAAAAATTTCTCGAAATACTTCATTTTTTGACCCGAAACATCAGAATACCCCTTTAAATAGATTCTCTCAGCATCGTTTTCGTACTCATGTGGTAGGTATTTCAAGTACTTCTGAGTTTAATACGCGTTGAATAACCTACATTCTTTGCTTAATTACATTCCCTTGATAATGCACAACTTTCTGTAAGCAAAGTGCTTTTACTGTGTAACAATACCCTTGAAATTCGATACTTTAACCGATAATTAATATCATTTCGAACATTTCATTTTACAAATGATTAGTATGATATATTTAATTAATTTGCATTGTAATGTATGAGAAACATACGAAATTCAATCTATAGATGAAATTGTAATCTGTCTTATGCTGATGCAATTTATATTCCTAATTGAAGATGATCACTTCCATTCATACAAGTTCTCTCCTTTAACTAGCACCATATAGTTAAATACACAAGATACCTTTATAAACTATATCACTCATGAACTATTAATTAGCCTTTCATTCACCAGTAATTGTTTTAAGTGAGTGTCTTAAAACAAGTGTATACAGAGAAAATTAAACAATTACTCTTTTCTTTCATATAATTAAAATTATTTTCATTTACTGTATTTTGCTACTACTTGCTGCTATATATATTACATATATTTGAAATAACGTCTTTACTACTACAAATGTTACGGCTTACTTTATCGTACAATGTTGCTTCTGCATATTAAAAGTTATTATGTTACTGATTTAATACATTAAGGAAATAGCTATTTTACATTTTTCTTAGCATCGTGGTACATTAACTCTAGTATATTCTTAATTGAATCTTAACTAAAGAGATTTTGCACTCAAGTCTCGTAAAATGGATACGCGTCATTCTTCCCGTTTCGTTTGTGGTTTGTCGCAACATAAGACAAGTATGAGACAAGCCTTGAAAAATTACCCCGACGTCCACTAGTACAAAGGTTTCATTAAGAAACACTTTGTAATTTATTTTCGTACCTTTACCAACGTCGTCGCTTGAAACACGAACGACAACTCGAAGAAAAACTGTGACTGGACGTCTTTTCTGTTCTAACAGCAAATATCGACAAATATTTATTTTATTAAGTAATTATTTTTTCTTACTTCAAGTTGATTAGTACGCGTAAATGGTTTATTACTAATTCGCTACTCTCAGGTAAAAGTATATATTTTTAAAATTTCGATTTATAGCTTTTTGTAGTCACAAATTTTTCTTAACAGATATTTTATTTAAAAAATAAGTTTTACGTCCTCTCCCCCTCTCTTTTACTCACTCTCTCTCTCTCTCTTTTTTCGTTTTATTTATACTATGTTTACGATTTACTATAATTGGTTTAATGCTTCTCTTGTATTGTACATTGTATTGAATTAAATTAGATTAAATGCTGCGACTATAATAAATGCAATTTGGGATTGATCTAAATATGCTTTGAATGATTTAGTTGTTTCACAAGATTATATTTTTGAATTACCTTAACAATGGTACTATCGATTAATAAGTAATGCCAGAAATTTCAGTAAAAAATAATGAATCTCATTTAATATTAATTATTGAAAATTTTGATATTATTTTATTTAACTAACTAAATATATATTTTTTATATGTATCATTTAAAAAATTGTAATAGCTATGAAAAATCATTTTATAAAAGCTCTCCTATTCATATGTATTTTTTGTTCATAAATAATTATATAGATTTATGCAAAAAACGAATAGGGCGTTGAAACAAGAAAGAAAATTTAATGCATCGATTTATTTTTATTTCTTTTATACTGCTCGTTATTTTACCGCATATACATTTCCATGAATATTAATTTGATTACAAAGGAACTTTGTCTTATAAAATCTTTCGAAATTATATTTTCTATAACTAAAAAAATTAAGTTCCTTGTGAAATATATTCAATACATTCAAAAGAAGCATGTCAATCGAAGAAAAAAATTAAACCAGATTGCCCATAGTCCACCAATCAACAAAAGGAGAGATGACAATGAAAAAGAGAGATAGAGAGAAAGCAATATTAATAAAACGTAATTTAACTCAATTGATCTTAATAAGTCGTATTTATCGTTACCCGGTTCTTATGAGCATATAAAATGTCATTTCTCTTTACAATCCATTTCTATTTTTTTATGAACGATTTTGCACTAACCGTTTAATATTATTCGAAATATCTGAAGTTCATAATGTATATTTTCTAAATAAAATTTGAGGAAATGGGACAAATTTTCTTTCTTCTTTCGTCATATGTAAAACCGATGAACGACCTTAATTGTTCATCGGTCGATTGAATTTTATTAGTTTAATTTAAATAGTTGATAAGATGATGATGATGATGACGACGATGGCGACATAGGCGCCAACATCTTATTTTTATCGAACTTTATAAAGAGCGGAAATCCGAAGGGTTCACAATACCGTTCATTGTCTGTATTCTACTATAGCTGAACGACGAGAGAAGAAAGCAAAAGCTGGTTGTACTTCAAGTCACGTGACTCCAAAAGATGGGGACCAAGCGCAAAGAGAGTGAGAGAAATAAAGAGACCGGACAAGTGAGAGAGAAAAAGAGAAAGAGAAAGAATGAAAGAGAGAGAGAGAGAGAGAGAGAGGGAGAGAAAGAATAAGCAAGCAATAGGTACGTTCAATTAATTCAGCCCTCGATTTTCAACATCTGTCTATCGAAGAGCAGACGCCAGAACGTGAACTTTAGAGTTTTAATTACTTATCCCACCCTCTTTGAACGTATGGCTTTTCGTGTCCTTTGTTTATTGTGTCACGTTTCCGATACATACCGCTTTTTGAGTCAACAAAGTTAAAAAACCGAATATATATATATATATGTTACCGTCATAGCTGGAAGTCCACCATTGCTGGTAATTCCTCGGCATTCTCATCAATGCAAAGAGCCTTTCGATGAAGTCGACAACAAAAGAATTCTTAGAGTTTTTCCTAAGCCTTGTATATATACATGCTTAGGAAAATTCTATGGAATATCAAATTACTATTTAAACAACGTTGAAACAATACATTCTTGGCCACAGACACACACAGCCATACGAAAAGTTTAGGTAAATATTTTTTATACTAAAAGTGAATAGATTTTAATGAAACTTATATTATATTAAAGTACACTCTTTTGTTTACGCGTAGAATACCATATCGAGTTATAAATTAAGCATGTAAAGTTCAGAAAATGTCAGAGAATGCAATGCTGTAAATTATGCATCTTTGCCATTTCTTTGAAAAGTTTTGGTAAATATTTTTTATACTAAAAGTGAATAGATTTAAATGAAACTTATATTAAATTAAAGAACACTCTTTTTGATATACAATTAGATTAACTAATATAATAATTTATAATAATAAATGGAGATTTATTATTGATAAAAATTACATCGTAACTAATTTTAGGAGTAAATAAATTAGAGAATTGTTTTAGTGTCGGGGTAAATAATTATTCTATTTCAAAACTTTCTAAATAAATAGTAATTAATTATTCTTCACCAACGCGAAATAGCGTAGTGAAAAAACGGATAAAGAATATAAAAAGAATCTGGAGAAGCGTTTGGAGGTGTTCTTTGTTTCCTTAGCTTCTCGAATACGTACAATTTCAACGCCTTAAGTTGGAATAAATTATCGAGCTCTTCTATACGATTAGTTTAGACTTTCACGTTTGCTTTTACAGCGTCCGACGTAATCCTACACAAAGTCGGTCAAGTTTTCATACCAAAGAAACAAAAATTTTCGATAGTATGGATGATATGCTCATTTAAAAATTAAACGTTTATGTTATTAAATACATATCGTTAATGTATTTAATGGTATCATTATAGATTTTATATAAAGATTACTTAAAAGTTGCAAAGTATAGAAATATTCAATATCGATCGTTTCAACTTGGTACATAGATATTATATACATTTGTATTTAATACACACTGTATCTTTACCAGCTGTTACCATATTTCTATTCACGTAAGTAAGTAAATATACACTAATTATCTTTTCTGTAATGGATGCAGATTTTATTTTTTATTTCACGATACAAGCCCTCACCGAGAAACGAAACTATTGTTAAATTTCCCCTCTCAATTTTGTTCATACATTTTTTGTTGTTGTCAAGAAAAACGCTTTTGTAACTTCCGTTCACGTTTATAGAATAGACCGGTTATTTCTTCTCTTTCTATGTCTGCCTCTCTCCCTCTTTTTCATACAAACATATAACTCGTATATAATGTGTGCGGCTACAAGCATTGAAAGAAAAACACATTCTTATCTTATATAATACTTATAACCGTAGAAAAGATCTATAGAAGTCGTTTCGTTTCTTTACAACCAACTGTCCTTCGTGCTAGCATTCGCTTTCTACTTTTTTAAATAAATGGCTCCTATCAAAAAGTCTTTAATTGTTGTCACTGTGTGACCAAGGACGTAAGTACGTCGTGATTAGTCGAGATTTGTTAAAAACGTCCCAGCGGACACGCGATGATCGAATAGCTTCAAAACGACCTGCGATTTATTTCAAACTTGAGATTGCATTGAGTTTTAATATATCGAAGGTATTTTAGAAAAAAGGAAAAAAAAAAAAAGAAAAGAAACATTTAGTTTTATTTATATATTCCAATGTTACGATCAAAACTTGTCTACTTGATATTTTCAATTAAGTTTACGTCGAAAGAAGAAAGTAATTATCGGATTTGATATAGAAAATAAAATATTATATAAAGAAAAGAAAAAAAAAAAGCATAATTCCAAAGGAAATTCCTTTTTAGAACACATTCAACAGAAATATCTTCGCATTCCGTAGTAAGAAACTAATTATTTGTAGAGTACCAATCAAAACACGAACGGAACAACTCATCATCTTTCTCGTTAATCTTCTTGGATTTTCTCTTAAGTAATGTTACCTTCTTTCTTTTTAGTAGAAAATTCGAAAAATCGAAAAATTAAGATCTTGGGAGAAAAATGTATGAAGGAATAATGTAAATAGTTTTAGAACTGAAAAATGAAGAAAAAAAATGAGTAAAGAAAATCGTAGCCAGATGCATCGCATATAGAATATATTATATTATATTATAGTTTTGACAGTAAAAGAGGCAAAATGAGAGACTTCTTCGAACGCTGACAATTAGTACACCGGTCTACCGATAGGAGCGCATCGATCGCGAGCGTGAGGCTCGATCGACGCTCTACGTTCAGTCTTTCCGAGTCTCGTTTGCGCGTGGGTCGCGCGCGCGTCGCTTAACTTCCGCGCGTCTACGCGTTCTATATCCGCACGCGTTTTATTCGCGCATTGTTTTCACGATTAAAACGTGTCCCATTGTTTTTTTTCTCCCCATATCCGTGATAGTTCAATATTATTATACTTTTCCGAAAAAATTGTACGAGTAATTTACGAAAAGCAAAAGAACGAGCGACAAAGAAAGAGAAAGAGAAAGAGAGAGAAAGAAAGAAAGAGAAAGAGAGAGAGAGAGAGAGAGAGAGAGAGAGAGAAAGGAACGTTTAAAGTGCAATTTTTGTTTGTTTGAGTAGTGCGCCATGTGACGAGGAAAGATATTTCTTTTCGAAGGATATTAAGAAAGAAAGATAATAAAATAATTTATCTATCGTAGAAAATCTTCCTTTTCTTCTTGTTCCCTTTTCCAAGGCCCTTCCCTTTTCCTTTCGAAAGTTAGCGTCACTCTCCTTCGAACAGTCTCTTTGTGTGTTTAACGCAACACAAGACCACGTGATTTCGAGCGTTCCTTCTAATCTCTTCTTTTTCTTATTCTACTCCTACTTTTTCTTTTTCTTTTTCTTCCTTCTTCTCCCCTTCCTCCTCCTCCTCCTCTTCCTCCTCCTATTTCTTTCCTCTATTAGAACGATCTCAGCTCGAGGCTATGCGCTTTGGAGCATGAGGTGGATAGTAGTACGATACGACGACGACGACGACGACGGTGTGTGAGATAAGCCTGAAGCGAGTTTTTTGACAGAAGAAACGGAGAAAGAAAGAGATAGATGGATAGATAGAGTGCCAAGTTTTAGCCGAGTTTTCTTAGAGTTTTTCAACGGTCGTGCTTCTTGGTGTCTCGCAGCTGGTGCGCGTGCAGCTTTGTTCCCTGTGAACAAGGAAGAAGATAGAAGAAAATAAGGGTGAGGGAGAGAGACAGAAGAAAAGGTCAAAGGATACAAAACTTTACCTGCGGACTGCTTATATTCTTTCAAGGTGAGTACTCTACTATAATATTTTTAAAGTGACATTAACGATCTCGCAAATGTGGAGACTTTGATTTCGTTGTAACAATTCAACGATACTAAATAAAGAGTTAAATGAAAGAGAAAGACTGACGGATAAAGGAGAAAGTTGAAAGAAGATAGAAGAAGTCGAGAGGAGTCACCATTTATGGAAGTAATCGAATATAATCCTCGTCTTATTTTTTATTTTATTTTTTTTCTCTCTCTCATATTCTTTCCATCTTATTTCTTCTTTCCACGGTTTTCTCCTCACCTTGGTCGGTAAGAAACCGTCATTTGAGGTTTCCTTGAGACACGCGAACAAGGAGTCAACTTCGAAGCTAGGCCTACCTTGCCTTGCTGTTCCCGTGTCCGTGTCCGTGTCACACGAGGTCGTAACCCGACTCGATCCTACCTTTGCACCGTGTGAACGGGACTACTTTGGAATGGAATCTCGTGCAGCATGCTGAGGGAAGACCCAAGCGAACAGATCTCTTCGTCTTATTGTTCCCCATTTAATTTTTTTTTAGTCCTTTCTTTCTTCCCAATACCAAGACCTTGGTTCCATATGATACTCTGAAAATCTTTATAATCGACCGTTAAATTATACGAGCTAAAGATAGTTGAAGGCTTGTGTTGTTATTTAGAAATTTGTTGAAATTAATTAAACGATGATAATTTTTAGCCCATTAAAGTTATTTCGAAATATATATTATTTAAATATATTTATGTGTATTAAAAAATATATTTCGTCGAATTATACTATTGTTTTTCTTTTTGAGATAACCGCTAGCTCTATTGTAAGAACTTTGTGTTGTCGATATATGCATTGAAACTTGTTTTTCTTTCTGTTTTTTTTTTATTTCCCCTGAAAACATAGTAACTGTTAGCTGCATTTATTATCAAACATTGTCTATTCTCATCGTTTAGAACATTTTAAAAATACATTTTGACGATGTGTCAAACTTGATTTTCAATTTTAATTTTTCTTTTTTTTAAACAGAAAGCACAGCATAGTTTATTTTCGTAGGTTTGTTTAGCGCTTGTCATTCGTGTTTTTTTGCATCTTTAAAATCGATTGCTATTCGATTTCGTTGATTGCTACGTGATTAGTTTTTCGTGCGTTCCGTTTGTCGAAAGTTACGACGGTCATAGGAAGAATTTCCTTGTGATCGTAGGTCGAGGTTAGGAGAGATAAAAAGGTTCAAGTTTGTTGTAGGGTTAGTTCAAAGGGAAGTTGCTTGCGAAGGTACCAATGAGAAAGAAATAAACTTTTTTCCCTTTTTATATATATATATTTCTCTACTTGCAAATTGGCTTATCCTTTAATTTCATATTTACGTGACCGCATTTAATTTATAGCTTGTTGAACAAGAACATGGATAATTTGATATTAAAAATTTCGTTTGTAGAAGAAAACGGAAGAAAATTCTTTTATTTGTTTTTCTGCATAATAAGTAAAAACGTTAATTTATAAGTATCTATTCTTTCTTGAATTTAAATAATATTAACTCATATCAGATGAATAATATAATTATCGTTTATTTAAAGGAAAGAAATAATTGATTATTTTAATAACTTATGTATATTTCATATTATGTATTAGAAATAGAGATATACTATATATACGTCTTTTCAAGTTATATTATGGAAATCCATAAATGTATTGAAATTCATCGAAATGCGTTTCATCTGGTGGATTACTGATATGCCTTGAATTTATGGCATAATAATATGCAACACCTTAGAAGATCTCGTGTTCTACTTAACGATTCGATGCGTTAAGGGAGATACATGCACGTATAAATCAACGAAGAAATGTGCGAGGAATAATCGAAGAAGGAGTATAGCGAGCAGCGAATCGTCACGGTCAACGATCTTTAAGATCGCGATCGAGTTGGCTGTACTCGTCCCCTTGCTCTCGTCCCTTGCACAAAGTACTATCCGTCTTTCTTTCCTTCGACACGAGAAGAGGCGAACCGGATCCAAGCCCATGCCCCGAAAGGCGACCTACGTTTGTATGTATACGTAATGTACGTATGTATATACCTACGTTGAGTGCCTCATCGTCGAGCTATGGACGAACTTTAACAAAAATTATCAAAAAAATTTAATCTCGCCGCTTTTAATTTCCATTACGATAGCTAGGTCAAATCGATTAGTCTCTTTTTCTCTCTCTCTCTATATATATATATATATATTGACTATAATATATATCTCCCTCTTCTTATTCTTTTCCTCTTGACGTTAAAATGATTCAACTAAAAGCTACGATAGGAGAGGATTTCTCTTGGGTCGTGCTAATATTTTTTCTCCGCTCGTTGAATCTTACTACATCGAAAAGGTAAAAAAGGATCAGTGTTCATGGGTTAAGGATAATAAAGTTTCAAACCGATATTCAGAAAGCATCCAGCCAAACTCGCCCATAATTGGTCGGTTCACCGATTTTTCACCAACATTTGTCACATACGACCTATCGAACGATAACGTTTAATGGCGACACCGATCTCTTCTTTTCTTTGAGCTTTCCCCTTTTTTCTTTTTTGGCAGATCGAATTTCTTTTACGACATTTCACATATTCTAGCATCGTTATCCCGTCGACATAAATCAGCTTCGAACGTGACCCTTGGAGAAATGTTCAGTCGTCGTTGTCGTCGTCGGTGTCGGTGTCGTCAGCAGCGGTAAATGCATCCAATGAGAATGTGAGAAAAAGATGCAGAGAAGATACTATGCTAAGATGAAGGCTTCAAGAATAGATTTCTTTATAAACGTGATCCCTTTATTTTGTTACGATTTTTAAGTTAGAAAATTTCGGTATATTTCCTTGTTTCTACTCCCATCTCGTCTTTGCTATATGAAATTAACCGAAAAGAAAAATTAACAACTAAGAAAAAAAGGGGAACATGATCAAGTATATTTTATCTTCGCGTATCATTATTTTTTAGTAGAATAAATATCACATGTTAAAAGTTCTTAGATGATTCCTCTCTCTCTCTCTCTCTCTCTCTTTCTCTCTCTCTTTTTTGTTGACGCTTTGAAAATTTTCTGAGAATACGAGCTTTTTACAAAGATCGGCCTGGCCGCGAATGCGGTATTATTCGCTCATACGTCACGTTGGATTTTAACGTGTCCTTAGAGATATCTATCCTGAAAAAAAGCTTAGCGTTGAAGAGAAAGAAAGAAGAGATGAAAGAGGGAAAGAAGGTGGATTTTTTACAGGACGCAAAATCTCTATAAATCTGTCGCCGAAAGCTATGTACAGAACGCGTAGATATGTGGTTAGAGAAACCGAATATGTGTCACTGGAGAAGATACCAGGATATTTTGCGTGCGTACCTAACACCATACATATGTGCTTTGTAACGTTGCTATGAAAGATATTTTGTTGGAATAGTATTAAATACGAAAGGATGATTTTTAAATGAATATGATAAAATTGTTTCGATATGTGTTCAACGATGGATTTAGTAATTTGTTAATTCATTTAATGTATTTGTTATTTAATAAGCATTTCATACTCTGATTGGATCATCTCGAAAAGCGTGTTTTAAGCGTGACGATTATTTTGTATTGCATAAATGTAAGTATATAAATATGTATGAGTAACGTAATACACCATGAATTAATCGAAGCAAATATTTTTCGAATATATTCATGGCCATGACTAATATTTTTCTCCACGCGTACACACACATTTTTGTATGACGTTCATTTTCAAATAACAGTCTCTTATTCATTTCGAAATCTAATGTAGATTTATACTGCTTTATTTTTTTTTTTTTTTTTAGTAAAAACTTCTGTATCACGTCGAAATCGACTAATTACGAGACTTATGAATCTATTCCTTTTGATATAAAGTAGAAAGAGTTTCCGTTTTTGATAGAACTGTACCTATTTTAATCAAACGTCGGAGCTGTGACTGAAAATTATCTGAAAACTGTTTCACCTTCGATAAGATGATATAAGGGAAAGAATGGGATAGGATTCCTTCATAGAAGAAGAGGAATCACTGACGCATAATTACGTTGATATTTTTTTTTTTTTTTTTCCATTCACGCCGGAATAGTATCAACTTTCCGAGAAGAATTGTCTGACTCATTGCCTTTTAAAATCCATTCGGTGTCCGAACGTTCGTGCGTGTCGCGTTGTGAAAAGCAGCGGCTCGCAGCCACCGCTTCGTGTATTTTCTTTCTTTCTTTCGTTCTTTCTCTCTCTCTCTTTCTCTCTCTCTTTCTCTCTCTTTCTTTTCATCCACCGTTGACTACACGCTCGACGTGTGTGAGGTAATGGTTCGTGTCACGAAGTTGAAAGAGAACGCCCTTCTTTCTCCTTTCCTCTTAAGGAGAAATGAGTCGTTCCTTTTTTTTTTTCTCTTCTTGTTCGTCGTTCTTCCAACTCTCCAACTTGTAAGCCATGCGCGCGAACGCCCGCGCGCGTTACCTTCTTATCTTTGAAGGGAATCGAATACGACGTTTTGTATTTACCAGCGCATAAGTCGCGAAGAACTAAACCGTATTTTCTACGTGTGCTTCTTTTTCTATTTTTCTTTCTTCTTTATATACTCCTACACGGTTTTTTTTACCTTTTTTTTTACCTTTCTTTTTTTTTTGTCTTCATCCAGTCTTTGAAAATAATTCAACGTTGAATGGTGTAATCGTACGAACGAATAAAAATATTCTGTATCCCATATCGCACCAGCACAATTTTCCTCATGCAATCTCGTACCAAGGGTAGGAGGATGTAAAGGAAAAAAGGAAGGAAGGAAGGATGGATGGATACTTTCTCGGATGGATAGATATTTCATGCCTTACGAAAGAAAATCCTGTAACAACATCTCAGTTTTTCATATGTATCAACTTTATATGTACATACATATATATATATACGTGCATGTGCATATATATATATATATGTATAAAGATATGTAGCTATTTCTTGAAAGAATATCTAACTTATCTACGTTTGTTCTTTCATATTTCACGTAAAATAAT